GGAGCAGAAGCGGCATGAAGTGACCGGGAACAGCAGCCGTGTCAGCCACGTGTGTCCCTACCAACCCAACCCCCTGCGCCTGGGACCTGGGCGATGGTCCTGTGTCCGGGCGGGCAGCGACCACATCGTACCCCTCCGGTACACATGGCTTCCCCTAGGCTCACATCCAGTCCTGGGACGCAGGAACCCCAAGCCCAGCAGCTTTGTAAAGAGAACAGCCTGGCCAGGCACACGCCGTTGCTGCTCTTGGAGCGAATCCCAGAACGAGAGGCCAAGAGGGACACACGGGCCACGGCCCTGCCGTTGCGACAGCCGCCGCAGCGGTCCTCCGAGACCGCCATGGATGGGGTACCGGGAGGCACCAGGGACCAAAGGTCATTTGAAAAGAGGTACTTGCCCCAAGCACGTGTCCTGACCCCCGCAGTGAGCTCTGGGCAAAAGGGCAGCACTGGAGGAGGGCACGGTGCCCATCCTCACCTGCACAATGACAGTGAAGAACACCACCACGATGGTTGTTGCCACAAAGTAGTCCTTGGCTTTCACCTTTGCCCTGTCCAGCAGGATGACCAGGGCGAAGGCCACGGCTCCGCGGAGGCCACCATACGACATGACCACCTGGTCGATCCTGTCCAGGGGGATGAGGCGGAAGCGGTTGAGCACGCAGGTCTGGAGGACAACACCTAGGGAAGAAGGAGAAGGAGAGCCTGGGATGCCGGCAGAGCCCTCCTTGCTCCTGGAGCCGTGGCAAAGCCCAGGCCAGGAGCTGTGGCTGGTCCCGCACCCCAGCCTTTCTTGAGGAATGCCACTTTTTGACTGGGTGCTCTGGCCAGAAGCACAGCAGGGCAGACTGACCCACAGCTCTGAAGAGCAGGATAAAGAACAGGGTGCCCAGCACCAGCGCTGTGTCCCATGCCCACTTGGAGGTGTCCACAGCTGAGATGCCCAGAAACATGAAGATGATGGTCTCTGAGCTGCTGGCCAGTGTCTTCATGGTGTACTTGACCGTGGTGCGGGATTTCTGGGAGATGTTGGCTTCCACATACTTCTTGCAGCAGATTCCACAGAAGGTGACTCTGCAGAGGGGCAGAAGGAGCCGCCATGACCCTACGGCGGGATGAGGAGTCGGTCTGCTCGCCGCCTCTTGCTGCTCAGCACTGCACCCCCCATTTCCTGGACTCCCCCCCAGGGTCGCCCTGGTACTCACGCCAGGATGGAGGAGAGAGAGACCATCTCAGCAGCAAGGTACGCGATGTAGGCCAGGAGGAAGACAAAGAGCGGCTCGATGATGCGCACCCGCTTGGTGAACCGCGTGATGAGGGCCAGGAGGAAGGCGAAGAGCAGCCCGACGGCCGTGCCCCCCAGGCTCACCAGGAAGAAGGAGGCTGGTGGGGGGAGAAGACTCATTTGCTCCATAAGCAAGCGAGCCCAGCTCCTGCCATGCTGGGCTGGCCAAGCCCCGTGCTCCCACCTGGGTCCCCACAAAGCATCCCATGATGACAGCTGGCGTGTGACCACTGGGATGGAGATGACAGAGCTGCCGTGCTCAGTGCCCGCCCCACAGTACGACAGCATCTGTGCTTGTCCCCCACGCTTCCACTCCAGAGGAAGAGTCGGAGGGGCTGGTGGGGCACATACTCACCTACCCCCTTCATGTAGTCCGTGGCATGGATGTGTGCTGGGCCCAGCTCCACAAAAGAGTTGAAGACCTTGTACAGCACCTGCAGGCAAGGCAAATCCCTTGGGGAAGGCAGGGTATCGCCCTGCTTTGAGAGGGACGGCACCTGCGGGCAGGATGGACCCTGCAGAAGAGGCATCACCTGCCCTAAATCTGCCAGGTGACACAGCTCATCTCGGCAGGCAAAGTCCCCCAGAGAGCATGGCATGGGTCTGCCCTTGGCTTGGGGTTGTCACCTGCGTCCTCTGCCCAGCCTGGGGGACTCCAGCGCCCTGGCCCACATTGGGCTCCACTTTAGGGTCCCCCAAGCTCCAACTCACCACGGTGACAGCATCGTTGAGGAGAGACTCGCCGAACACAATGATGAAGAGGGTCTCGTTTACATGGACCTCTTCAAAAACCGCCAGCACCGCCACGGGGTCCACAGCTGAGATGAGGCTGCCGAAGAGCAGGAAATCCATCAGCCCAGCTTCGATGCCCGGATCTGCTTAGGACAGAAGGACCAAGCTCAGGCAGACCATCTGCCCCAGAGCCCCCTTCACCAGGCTGAAACAAGCCTGTCCCTCGTCTGCTCTCAGTGACTTGGCCGCAGCATCCCAACTTGGAGTGGGGTGAGCCAGGGAGTGCTCCCAGACCTCCGGAGTCCCCCAGGCGAAGCCGGGATCGTTACTGCAGCATGAAGGGAGCAGGGCTTGGACGTCCCCCCCAGCACCCAGGTGCATCGCTGCCCCTCCGGCAGATATGCACCGATGGAGGCTCAGCAGCCCCACCTCAGGTCCAGGCATCAAGCGGTTCCTCAGCAGACTCAAAACACGGCCCAGGCCAGCCAGGGCCAGCGGCTATGAAAGTGTCAGCGAGCCAGCAAGGCTAGCCAAGGTCGGCGACAAAAATAGCAAAGACGTGAGTCAGCTCAGTGCCGAGGAGGGCCCGTTTGCCCTGCACGCTTGACGGTCCTGTCAGAGCACCGTTCCCAGGATGCCAGGACCCTGCTCCTGCAATACTTCCTGGGAATCCGTGGAAGGAGGGCAGTGGGCTCTGAACTAGGGGGTGCTTTGCACCCTCCGACCCATCTTTTGGGGATGTGACCCAAGGTGTGCAGCCCTGTGCACCCACCCATGAGCCCGGCGCGGTGCAGTCCCCAGAGCGCAGTGCCGGTGGTGAAGGAGTTCCAGAGCGTGCCCACCACCGCGTAGGTGAGGATGGCACCGATGTTGTCAAAGAACAACCGGCTGGGCATGAAGTAGCCCGAGTCTAGGACAATGGGGGGCAGAAGGAACAGGAAGAACATGTTGGGCTCCAGCTGGTACTCGGCTTTCTTCGCCACAGCCAACACGATGCCCCCCAGGCCCAGCCCCAGCAGGATGAGGAGGCAGCTCTCTGGGACGATGGACGTCACCTTCCTTGACAGGTGGAAAACTAGAAGGAAAGGAAGAACGAAAGCATCAGCCAAACAGGCACGTGGACAGAGCGTCCCAGATCCACAAGCTCCACGGAAGGGTTGGCTGATGCATGATGGACCCTGGGGAGGACAAGGGAGCACCTAAGGCTGCTTCGTGGCCGTGTGCGCACAGACCTTCCAGCTAGCTCCCAGGTCAGGATTTCAGGTCCCTGACTCTTTGGGATCTTACTCTCCTCCTCAGCCACTCTCTAGCAAGCCAAGCAGCCAGGCATTTTGCTTTTCTTGGCCTCTGGTATCTGCACTTAAAGGATAAAAGCAGCCAGCGAGCACGTTCACAGTGTCACCGGCAATGCCGGCTGCTGTTCAAGCGAAGGCATCCTGGTTCACCGGGACACGTTACCCCACTCAGAAACGAGGATGCTCAGCCCTGGCGACGGGGTGACCTTGTTTGCAGCTGTCTGAGCAAGCAGACGGAGCAGCATGCAAACCGCTGCACCACCAGCCAGTCAGCCGCTCTCCGTGTGCCAGAGCACAACCTTCCCCAGCACCGGCTAACCCACCTGCATGCAAAAAACAGGCGAACGGGAGCTGCGGATTTAGAGATGCTTTGAATAATCGGTTTATTCCATGTGAGGTTTGGACCAAATCTTAAACTGCCGTGGAACAGGATATATTTTTTAATGCAAGGAGAGTATGCCTTGGTATTCATCCATCAGCTCTGTGGCAGTGAGCCTGCAGCTCAGGCACAAGCCAGCGGGACGTCACGCCAGCCAGCACAGGGGACTCGCTCCTCCAGGCAGCCTTGTCGCCAAGCTAGGGCATCTCATGTAATCCCAAATCATTCCAGCATCCAGACAGGCAACCCCCCCCCATCCCTGTGGGTTTCTCCTCCCTGAATTTTTGCTGCCCCCAAAGGGCTCGGGGAAAGGCTCTCGAGGGTCACAGCAGTTTTGCTCCCCCATCGTGGAGTTCTGCCATCGCCTGTGACATCCAGCCCAGCTCTACAGCACAACTTGGCCATCAGATGAAGAAACATTCTCCTGGGGAGTGGGTTCCTCCAAGCGCTTCCAGAGCCACCTCTGCCCTTGAGCACCCAGCAGGTACAGGGGACATCAGGGCAGCCGCTGAGCCGTCACTTGGCCGCAAGCCCAGCCCTGCTGCCAACCCAAAACCCAGTCCCTAAAGCCCTTCAGCTGGATTAAAAGTGCCCATTGCTTGTGCCAAGCCATCCCGCCAGGAGGAAAGCTTTACTGTGCTCACACGCAGACCTTAGCTCACATGCTTCTTCTTCCCTCCCTGGAACTCCCCAACCATAAGGTCTGCCTAGATCAGTCCTGTCTCCGGTGGCATAGACCTGGAGAGGAGCCCAGGAACAGGCAGTGCTTCATCAGTAGCTTTCCATGTCCCTACGCCCTTGTCATTCTCCTCTGAACCTGTTATGGGACGGGTCCCAGTGTCCCTGAGATGCAGACATCCTGGGCATTGAAGTCGTGGCCTCCTGATGTTCTTCCTTTCTCCTTTCCTAACACCTCTTAGTCGATTTGCTTTCCTTCGCTGCAGCTGAGCACTGAACTAGAAGAGCTAACGTCAAAGATCTGGTTCCTAAGCAGAGACAACATCTGTGAGCCCACCACTGAACGTGCAGGCTAAGGGCGGCTTTTCCTCTCGTTCCTTCCTCCTGCTCCTTGGCATGCTAAGCCCTGTCCATGGCACCCGGGGCCAAGCGTCTGCCATAGCTCTGCAGCCCAAAGCCCAGGGCATCCACCCTCGCCCCCAGCCGCCTCCGCTCGCTGCGATTCAGCCACAGAGGCAGCGGCGACACGGACGCTACAGCCCTCCAAGAAAACCCACAGCCCAGAGAAGGGGTGGCTGAGCTCCAGCCCCGCTGAATTCTTGCTAAATGACCGCACAAGCCACAGCGGAGCCCTGTTCACCCCACGTGAGCCCGGCAAAGGCAGCGCCGGTGGGCGAACGGCGTTCGCTCAGCTCCTGCGGCAGGCTGCGAAACCACTTCCCGCCCACGGGAACAAAGCTCTGAAGTTTTCAAGAAGGGAACGAGGCATCCAGCCCCTTTCTGCACACTCAGGAACATTGCCAAGATCCCCGCTCCCTGCTCCAGCATCCCATCTGCACTGCCCGTGCTGCGGAGATATGCCCTGGCTGGCGGGAGAGACCCAGGAGAGCCCGCAGAGATGCTATGGGGACACGGGGCCACGGCTCCTGGCTGTCATCCATCGCTCTTTCCACCAAGCCAAAAACTTGGGCAAAGAAGGGAGCAGCATTGATGGGAAAGACCCTGCTTGTCCAAAAATCCCCTTGGCTGAGGGGGGATGCTGCCACCCTCCCGAGCAAATGACAGCACACGAGCTCCTCTGCGACGTGGGGAGCAGCCAGCGGGGACGGGTGGAACGAGCTCTAATTTTACATTCGCTAGTCAAGAATTTCAGCATTAAAGGTTCCCACAGCAACGGTAACTTAGCCACATGTGAATTAACTTCAGACCCATAATCCACACTCAGGCATCCATAATAAGGATTTGCCATTGGGAGGACTCGGGGTCAAAACCTGCTCCGCTCCTCCGGTGCTTGGGAAATGGCGAAACCAAAACCAAGATGCGAGCAGCCGGGG